ACAATAACAAAAAGACCAGTCAGGTTAATTACACTAGAGCAGAGAGGAATCTCTAAGATGTAAATACATTTCCATGAACATTAAAAGCAAACCCCTCTCTAAAGTGTTTTTCTTTCACAAGCAAGCAAGAAAATGCATTGGATAAAACAAACTTTGCTTATTTTAGTTTCGACTCAATTACCTGTTAATGGAAAAAATCTGGCACCACTAATAATGAGGCAGGAATGAGATCACTGTTCTGGAGGCCTGGCTTGTCAGGGAAGCTTGCAACAAGAAGTGCATTTATCTGCCTTTCTATAACCCTTTTCAAGCACTCTGTCAGGGAGCCCAAACTGAGCAGCCAGTTTAGGAGGAACTTGGAACCTGCTCCAGGCCCCCTCAGCCCTCTGGGAAAAGGAAAATTATTGTTGGCAAGTCTGCCTGGCTCCAGAAGTTGATCCAGTGCCCCCCACTTGCCCATGCAGCAGCAGACAGAGCTAAGAATTTTGTTATAATTAAATAACAGAGTGCTGATTGGTTGCTGGAGGTGGTCTTGAAACTGGTGTTTAAGGCAGTGGAGAACAACGGTTACTATTCATAGAAAAAGCAGAGTCTTAAAATCCATCTGTTTCGTTCCAAATTTAGGCCAAAAAAATGCTCACTCACTGTCTTTAAAAATACCACCTGCTTAGCTATTTTGTATAATGTGCCATTATATAAGTTTGAAGGAGGAGCAGGCAGGGAGGCAGCAGGGGCTGAGAAGAGGTGGGGGTAACAGATTAAAAAGATATAGTTAGAACCAAAAATACCCCAGAAGCATATTCAAAAGGGAACACAAGATAAGGGAGCAAAGGAGACATTTTCTGAGGAAGATTAAAACCAGGGTGTTTGCTAATGCCTGGGAACCAGCGACTACAAATGAGTTTGTCTGCAAATAAGATAATAATCTTTTTTCTCTTTTTTTTTTTGGAAAAAACCCCATCCTTCTTGCTACACACATCCAACTCTGGTCCTCATCATGCTACAGGGATGTGAAAACACCCTAAGCCTTTCCCACCCTGTAGACCTTTTGGGGGCGAGTGGGCAGGCCAGGGCATTGCAGCCTGCCTGGGCAGAGCCCTGCCAGCAGGTACCTCCCAAGTGGGGCTGTGCTTCTCATTGCTGAGCTGGTGCAAGCAACAAGTCCATGGAATGAGACAAGGAGCTGGTAACACCACGGCGTCTACTTTTCCAGAGCAGCTTTGCTCTGCAAGCAGAAACATTAGCAAGGCCTGGTGTCCTGCAGATGTGTCTCCTATCTCCCCACTGTCCTTCCCCTCCCCTTGCTTCCCCACTGCAATCTTACATAATAATACATATTGCAGCTGCAATATTTCCAGTTTTCCCTATACCCTTAACTCTCTCCCATGTCCCTTGTTCCCTCCAACACCCCAATTCTCTCCATGTCTCCTACCTAATCTTCTTGGCCTGCCAGCTGGGCAGGAGAGCGCAGATGCTGGTCCAGAAGTAGACGTGTGATAATTGGCCATCTGGACACTGCCAGAGAGAATGGATAACAGCTGAGCTCTCCCTGCCTTTTCTTCCACAGTGGATCTGGAAAGCCTCTCTTCTCAGTGCCGGCAGAGATTTCCCTGGAACTCAGAGGGACTTTATCATCTCCAAGAGTTTGACTGCCGCTGTCAAATCTGGTTCAAAATGCCAGAGGATTCAAGAATTATCAGGAGAGTGTCGAACAGATGGACAGACAGCATGACTTCATGATCTCCACTGCCTTAGAGGTCTGGGCTAACATCCCCCCGCCCCAAATTAAATGCATTTCCAACCTCAGAAAAAGAGCAACTCCTAGAACACGGGTGCAAGTCATGAGTGAATAATTTGGATTGATCCCTGAAGAAAATCAGTCCAGGAGTTGGAAGATTCCTGTCCTCAGAAAGGCCTTAAAACTAGCTGGTGACATTATTGACAATGATGGGTGGTGGGTATGCATTCACTTGTAGCTGATCTGCCTTAAGTCTCAAGATGTTTTCCAAGAACATCTTAAAATGAATGCCAGAGTACCTGTCCACCCTTTTTTTTTTTTTATAATATAGCAATTGCTACAATCTCTGAGCAAATTTGCATATTCATACTTTTAAGGCTTCAAGCTCTTTAGCCTTCCTGTCCAACAAAGACTGCTGAAGCTCAGTGTTGGTCCTGTACCGAGTGTAGTCTTCAGCTGGAGCATCTCTCCAGCATCCAAAATCTCTACCCAGAGTCTTAGGTGGTAAAGCACTCCTATGTGTACTCCAGTCATATCTGGGAAGCACTGCCATACATGTTAATTTTTATTATTTTTGTTTGCTTTCATGATTGCTGCAATGGCCCATGCAACAATTTTACTGTGAACTCTCTTTATGTCTTTTTATGGTCTAATTAAATGAACAGGACTCTAAAGACTGCTTTTTTCTCTGCCTTTCCCTTCCTTTTTTTCTTTTAAGCAAAGCTTAAAACCATGTGGCACTGCTTTATTGAGTCAGCAATTGCTTAAACTTTTTAAAATTCCATACACTAAGTGAAAAATGAGATTTACAAAACTAATGGAAAATAAATGTCTCCCGAACATGCAATACATTGACTTGCTTCCGTGCCTTATCCCATAAAAACAGATGGAAGCAATAGCTACAGTGAATTACCTCCTGTACGAAGGGCCCCATGCTGTCCCGTGGCAGCCCTGTACAAGGACAGAGCGTGCCAGTTTGTCACCGCCCTGCTCTGGAGGTGGCATGTGTGGACCTGGGGGGTGAAGGGGGTGATCAGGCCATACCCCAGGGCTATTTCACCCCTACAGTGTATGGGAAGGGCTGTCATTCCACCGTGTTTCCACTGTGCCTGGTTTGATGGGGTCCTTGGCTGTGACTTCTGGGCAGAAAGGGAGTACATTTAAATAACAGTAATATTCTCCCAGAAGCCTTGACCCAGCCCAGGTCCTCTAAGCAAGGGAAATTTGGAGACAAATCTGAAGGCGTAAGCCCATCAAGGGACACAGCCAATGCACAATCTACAGCAAACTCAAGCGGTTGCTTTCGCAGGAATATACCATTGTTTTCCACAGCAAACAAGAGTTCCCAGCACATGTTATCCACCACTCTCGAGCTCTGCTCAACGTATCTTTCGAACACATGCCTTTCTCCCTGAACACACAGAAGGAAAACCACTTTGTTCAGGAACAGTGTTTTTGGACTCTGCTTTCCAAAGGCTTGCTAATAAAGCAGAGAGCAAAGAACACACTTTTTTTGCTCAATATATGAATCATACCTTGATGGTGTCTCCTTTGAATCATGGCATTCAGAGATCTCTCCGGAGCACTATGTTTTACGTTAGAAGGGAGCAGTTATCCCCAGCAGAGAGAGCACATGTGTCTGGCTGATGGATGGCCATGTTCTAGCAAGAGTCAAAATGTTTAGGAGAAAGAAAGAAAAAGTATTCCCTAGAAACCTTAACTAGCAGGAGAGTAATTTGAGCATCGCGTTCAATTTGCTGGCTACCGACAGCAGCAAGATTTGGCATCTTCCACCCAGGCTTTGCACCAACACCCTTTTCCTCATCAGAGTCCCGTCCTGCCACGCTGCCCACATGCGGGTCACGGGTGACAAAGGGACACGTCCCACTGAAATCAAGGGCACCATTGTGTTACACAACAGAGGCAGCATCAGGCCGGGGATCAAAGGAGATAAATGGAGCTTGGTAAAAAATTCACCATGACTTAATCCATCTAATAGGAAATATGAAGCAGTACTCATGTATATTACCCTTTATTAATGTTTGAAACAAAAAAAGGCTTCTGGCTTGTAAACTAGTAAGTTAAAAAAGTGGTAGCAATTTAAAGTACTATATACTCTGTTTAAACATTATTTAGTCCTTCACCCAGTAATTCCCAGTCCCTCTACAAAGCAAATTCCTTCTACAGCCAACAGACAACCGCTTTGCAGCCGGTTTGGGTTTTATCGAACTCCACAGTGAGGGACAGCACGGTCTCAGCACCAGGGCTGGGCTTCTTGAAATGGCCCCGTTCCCAGGTCTCTGCAGAACATCACCCATTTTCACATAGGAGGAAGAATACTTACCCTTCCTGCAGAGTCCCTCAAGACCGACTGAAGAGAAGCGCATTACCTGAGCAATACACTGGCACGACAGCAGGGGACAAGCCTGCTCCGAGACCTTTGCATTCGATTTCCCTCAAGTGCCACTGTAGAAATTGCTATGGCTGAGATTTTCCAAGATGACTGGGGCTATGGTGACATCCACTTGTGAGAGATTCCTGGAAATTACAAAGCTTAAATTTCTACTTGGCTTAAAAAAACCCCAACAAATCAACCATTTAATAAAAATTCTTGCATGGAAGTTCACTCTCATGCCGCAGCATCTGCATGCATTGCTGTATTGGGTGGATGCTGGATGTTCAGCCCTGAGCACAGGCTGTGCTGCAAGGTCTCATTACATAGAAAAAAAAAAAAAAAAAATTAAAAATACATGTATCAATATGCAAAACCAGACTCAAATTTATCTAGGAGATAAACCCCACGGCCAGCACAAGGACACTGACTAATAAGGTCTACCTAAGCTCTACTGCATGTCCTTCATAGTGCATCAGCTCTGTGTTGTGGGATCACCAGGTCAAACAAAACTGTTTTAAAATTATAGGTACCATCAGCCCTCGTCTCCTGTCCCCCCAGTCAGGATCACTTCACACAGAGGGATGACATCACTTTAGTTCACAAGCCATTTGTCTTTTGCCGAATCACAGGCCACTTGCTTTAAATAAAGAAACCTTGCTGAGCAGGGAGAGGGCTAGTGCAGAACAAATTTACCAGGTGGTAGCACAGGAGCTCAAAGGAAATCGAAGATTTCTCACAACTAGACCTGGCTGCAATTTGACACGATTTTCACAAAATTTTTTTGAGGAAGTTTTCCACTCAGGCTGCAAATCTTTTTGGCCAGAGTAAAATGCAGTCAACGCATAAATGAGTTGACAAGTCATTCTCTGCACATACTAAGTTGCTTTTATTAATCCAGAACTGCATGCTACAGATACTGTACAGCATGAACATTTATTCATTACAAAAAATGGCTTCCAAACCATTAAAAATGAAAATCGGAATAAGAGCATAAAACGGAACAGTAACATCACAACTGTTAGGAAACATTCAAAGTATTCACAAAAAATGTTATAGTTAGCATCTTAATAAACCAGAGAAAAATCTGAGACAGTTTTACAATCGCTTCATGTCAACTACAATGGCACTGAATGAACAGATGAACAATTTTTCAGCTTTATACAGCGTTTTTTGCAACATCAACATGCCTAGGTTTTTTTTTTTTTGTTTTAAGTTTGCTACCTACCTGTATGTAGTAAGTGTACATAAAAGTGGCAGTCTGATTTTCCTTTTATGAATAATCTAATATACAGAATTTGGCCCTTAAGGGTTTATACCTCTTCATTTTAAATGCTTTCCGGACAATCTGCTACCAAACACGTCTGTTATAGGTGACATTAAAACTACATACATATCTACCTATGTAACATCACAGCAAAACATGATGAACAAAAAAATTACAGCATTAAAAAAAAAATAATAAAGTTGTCGGGAGAAAGTTAAAAGTCACTGAGAATTTTGGCACATAAAAATTTTGCACACAGCCTACAGTCCTAATGTCGCAGGGGATTCAGCTGCAGTTCTGAACGGGAGACACTTGGACCTTGCTATTTTTCAAACAGCGTTGCTAAAAATTCCCTTGCTAAATTTTCAAGTCTTTTTCTGTGTAATGGCTTTTAAAGCAATTTTTTTTTTTCTTTACACTATTGATCCTTGAAAAAATGCATCTGTGAATGTCCATTTGGTGGCAACTGTGTTTCATATAGCAAAAAAAAAAAAAAAAAAAAAAAAAAAAAAACCAAACATAAAAAGAAATCAAAACCAAAAATCCCAGAAAAAATATATATATACACATTTATATATAAACTTAAAAACCTTGTACAAATGAGTTGTTATATATAAGATGCTTACACTAAGGGAAAAAAAAAAAACCTTTATACAATGTTTCAAGAAAAAAAGAAGAAAAAAACATTTAAAAGGGACAACATACAGATACAACAAGCAATTTCTAAAGCAATAAATACTACTGGTCCAATAGCGTTGTGATACTTTTAATTGTTGAGTAGCGTTCCCTCCCCCAAAAAGAACAACACCATGGAACAAGGTATATTAACACATTTTTTTTAACCCTTTGTTTCTGTACATTTAAACAATAACAAGTAACATCACAATAAAGGTTGTTTCACACAAGGAAGAAAAAAAAAAGAAGTAGTAGCGGCACCGCATTCGTTGTGCCCTTAAAGGTTTAAAAACCAGATGTAAAATGATTGGTTCGCAAGCTCGTATTTAATACAAATAATAAAGAACCAATGCCTCCGGCAAGGGCTGCTTCAAAATTGCTTCTTTTTTTTTTTTTTAATTTTTAAAATCAGTCTTTAAAACTAAGCTATTGGAACTACATAACAATTATGTATATATATATATTTTTTAAACGCTACAAAGACTTTAAACAGCTGTTGATAAAAATTTTGGCAGAATCATGAGGCTTTTCTCATCTACATATTTAAAAAGGAGAAATTGAAATAAGAATGGGTCAAATATTGACCAATGAACTCGATAAAACATCAACTAATGTAGCCACATGGCACGAATTAAAAACGAAACCGAGAAACGACGACGAACAGCGGACGACGACGAGGAGGAGAAGAAAAAAAAAAAAAAACAAAAAACAAAAAAAAACAAAAAACCAAAACACAAAACAAACAAACGAAAGAAACCAAACCCAAACCGAAAAGGAAAAAACCAAAACCCCAAATCCCAACAGAATTCAATCCCCCCGAAGGAAACCGAAAGGGCTAACGAGGCTAAAGCTATTCTAAGGACTTGGTTACGAGGGAGAGCGGCTGGGGCTGTGTCCCCGCCAGCGAGCTGTGGGGATGCAAGGAGGACGTGGAGGGCTGTGCTAGGGGTGCGGCGGCGGCCGGCGGGAGGGCGGCCGGCGGGTGGTCCAGGGCCCCGTTGGGGCAGCTGGCGGCAGGCAGGGCGCCGGGCTTGCTCGCAGCGCTCTCGGCGAGGACGAGCGAGGATGGCGGCGGCATCATGACCAGGTGCGCCAGCGGGTCGGGCTTCAATGAGAGCGAGAGGGGTTGCGTTTGTTCAGTCTGTGGTTTCGAGTCTCTGGAGGGGGAGGCGAGCATGGCGGGGGAGGACGGAGGAGAGTCTAGTAAGCTTCCATCTGAAGAGGGTGGGCTGACGCAGCTGCCTTCACCTTGTATGTAGCGAACGCACTTTTTTTTTCTCCTAGAAACAGGGAGAGAGTTATCTGTGAATAAAGGGCAGAGACGCTGCCGGAGACAGTTATCTAAAGCAAAGAGCCATCCATTAGCTACTCTGGGCTCTGCGCGGGCAGCACCCTGGCCCCACGCGCCGTCCTGGGGGTCTGGCGGGGTGTCCTCAGCACCGAGCCCGCTCGGGAACCTCCCCTTGGCTAAGAGATTGGGAAAGCATTCACCAATTGCCTCTTCGTCCCCCTCCTCTTCAGGCCGCCTCCTTTTCTTAGTCATTTTAATAACCAGAAAATCAGGTAAGATGTTTTTGGAGCCCACTGTGCTAATCTACAAACTTGGCTTTCCTCCGGAATAAAAAAAAAAAAAAAAAATAAAATTAATCCTTATAAAATAAAAGCTCTGGATAGTTGATGGTATCTCAAGATGTCCCATAACGCTGTCCAACTCAACGGGGCTATCTCTACACCTGTGTCACCTGTCGTCTCTTACGATGCACTGCCCGTGGGAGGCAAGGATGGCTGCAAACTACTGCTCATTGCTTTCTCCTCTGTTAAGAACCACACCAAATCCAGAAATGTCATAGTCAGACAGGAGGGATATATAATAGAGAGAGCAAGATAGAGGGGAAATAAAAACAAAACAAACAAACAAAGCAAACAAAAGATAAAACAGGAAAAGAACAGGATAAACAGCGTATGATCCAAAATAACAAGAATAACTGGTTGTATGGCCTGCAGGTTGTGGCTTTAAACCGACTCAGTTTTACGTTTTGTTTTAAGGGACAGTGGTCGATTTAGGAATCTGCTTGTCTGCGTTTTGGGGAATTTTCCTCTGAGAGGCCATCCATGTAACTCCAGAGTGGGATCCAATTTCAGTAGGTGAAGAGCACGACGACAGGTACAAAGGTGAGGAGCAACATGGAGCTTATTTCACACCAGGGAATATGAGTCTTGCAAGAGCTGCTCATCTTCAAATGAATAAGTGACCCGACAGAGATCTTTTCTCCTCCCTCTGTCCACTTAATAATGTAAAGGAGCAATGAAAACAGATAACAATTTCACACCATCTCTCTTGCCAAGTATATGCAAGACAATTCTACCAGCAGGATGGAAATAATGAGGCAAACAACCACAGCATCTGGCAGAATGACGTTCAGTGGCCACCTTGACCCTAATAATGATGGCTCTCCAGCCCTCCTACTCACAAGCACACTTTCCATGGGAAGTGTTGAACTGCTGACACACAGCCCAGAGTACGTGACAACGTCTGTCTATGAGCAGCTCTGCCACAAAAACTCTGGACGCTCAGCTAAGCCGCACAAAGCCACCAACGTGAAGGAGTAGGTTGCTCTCCCCTTCCAGTGGATACCTTGGCCTAGCTCAGCAACTTCATCAGAGGAAGGGCCTGAGCGTGGCACACTGCTGAATGTTGCTGGGTGACATTCCCCACTCATGTAGGTGCCCCAGTTCCACTGTTGGTCGTCAACGTTCTCCCCTAGGTATGTCAACTGTGCTTGACTTGGGTTAAACCAAGGTCTGCTATCTAGGCAATAGGGCTAGATGTTTCTCAACTACAAGGGAGATCTAACCGGCTTGATCCTGGAGTTAAAAAGATAACATCACCCATAGCCAGGAAGGGAACAGCAACCCTGGCACCCCATCTTTCCACCAGCTTCAGTGAGGGACCAGTGCTGTGACATCCCTCCAGAGACTCAGGCTCTGCTCTCAGGTTCTGCTCCACATTCCATAGGGCAAGATAAGGGGTTAGGGCTATTAAGAGTTTTAACCACGTTAGCCTGCAGATCAATACATGCTAAAAACTAAAGACAACCATGCAACTTAAATGTTAAAAAGAAAGAAAGACAGAAAGAAAGACAGAAAGACAGACAGAAAGACAGACAGAAAGACAGAAAGAAAGAAAGAAAGACAGAAAGAAAGAAAGACAGAAAAGAAAGACAGAAAGACAGAAAGACAGAAAGACAGAAAGACAGAAAGAAAGACAGAAAGAAAGACAGAAAGAAAGAAAGAAAGAAAGAAAGAAAGAAAGAAAGAAAGAAAGAAAGAAAGAAAGAAAGAAAGAAAGAAAGAAAGAAAGAAAGAAAGAAAGAAAGAAAGAAAGAAAGAAAGAAAGAAAGAAAGAAAGAAAGAAAGAAAGAAAGAAAGAAAGAAAGAAAGAAAGAAAGAAAGAAAGAAAGAAAGAAAGAAAGAAAGAAAGAAAGAAAGAAAGAAAGAAAGAAAGAAAGAAAGAAAGAAAGAAAGAAAGAAAGAAAGAAAGAAAGAAAGAAAGAGATAGAAGACGGCAAGTGAAGGCTGTAAACCATGCTTTATTAGAGCAACGTTAAAAGACAGAAAAACATTAATTTGGTGGGCTCAAAACAGAACCTGTTAAATCTTCTACCATCAACAAACAATGGGGGAAGCCTCTGGCTCTTGGCTAAAGACAGTTCTGCTGCTCTTTCTCCCCTCTCCTCTTCTCTGCCTCACCACTTCTAGCTTCAGCTGTGTAACACTACCAGGGCCACAGGTCATGTTTGTACAGCTCCAGTGGCAAAGCAGAACAGTGATGCTTCACAAAGCTCACCGACAATACTTGTGTGGAAAGGTGGGTTCTCAAACTTTGGAGACAGCAGGGCTCCCACCTATCCCCAAATTAAAATATTTTGCAAGCAGAGGCCCAAGCTCTGCCTGTCTCATTGATGGTGGTCCAGAAGCCATTCAACTGGACTGCTCTGAGCCTACAAGTGTAGTTAATTATTTCACTGGAGGCTGTTTGAATCTAGTATGCCAAAAATTCAAAATTATTTTTTTACTATTATTTAAGTTCTGTGGCTTGAAAAGAAGAGTACCCATGGCAAAGCAGACTTATACCAGGTCTACCTGACTTTCTCCACAGTTAACAACCTCTTTAAAACTAAACCCACTGGTCTGCTACGTGAAGTAATTTTCCTTTGACTAGGATTAAGGGAGCAGATTGCTTCCTCCGTTTCTGTTGCATATTAAACTCTTTAATAGTGTGGACACTTTTAGTGTGAAAAGTCATTTACTTCAATCATGATGGCTCAAGGTGGGGACATTTCTCCAGCCTGTGCCATTCCCACCATGTATTATCCGTGGTCATGCACGTGTCAGGGTTTGGTGGGACGTAGATGGTAAAACCCCAAAGCCTGGCAAGCCAAATTATACCAGAAGCGAGCAACACCAGACAACTTTTGTTAAGGAGAATAAGTAAACATCCACAGAACTCTCTGTGTCTCAGTTCTGGTTTCCCAAAAGTGGGAACAAAAATACTACACATCTGCTCTCAGAAGCACTAGTGAGGATTATTCACCTGTGCCTTGCTCTGAAAGCAACAACTGCTACATCAGTCTGGCAAACACCAACAGATCTGACTCCACTTGAGCTGCCCTTGAAACTAGCCCCAGGACAGCACTGGGAAACCTGTAATGCTGCAGTTGCCATGAGTGAAAGCCACAGAGGATGACAAGGTTTTATTCAGTTGCTGTGAGCAAAGATGACTCAGTTTCTATTGTGGTAGCAAACTGGACACCTTTAGCACCTACCTAAGATGCACTACAAAACACTACCATGCTAGCAAATGCAATGTTATAATGTTTAGGACCAGAACTAGGAGAGAAATGCTCTAATGCCTAGTGATAAAATGCCTCCATGCATTAAAAAAAAACAAAACAAAAAAAAAAAAAAAAACCCAAACAAAATAACAAACCCCTAAAAGAAAAGCAGTTGACTCTACATCAGTAAGTCTAAAGCTATCAGCTACACCACTGAAGTAGTCTCTGATGTGCTGCAAAGATTTCTGACCAAAATCTGGCGTAAATTGAGAGGCTTTACGCTTCACATGTAACCTAAGCATGTACAGACCACATGAAAAGTCCCCTTGCTGATAAAATGTAGTTTTAAAAGTGTGCTGTTTATTTAAGCAGCTAGGGAAAGATAAAGCAACACAAACATGATGTGCCCCTGGTTCTGGTATTTGGCATACAGAGCCTGACATGCTTCAAATACTCTGTCTCTAGACTACTAGCAAATATCTGCTGAGAGTGTGTAGTGAACTAACCACAGAAAAAAGCCTAACTAAACACAGAATTCGAGTCTTTGGCTTGCATGACTCAAGCCTCCTGACACAGGGAAGTGGCTACCTAGTTCTTCTGGACTGAACCCTTCTTCCTTTAAGCTTTAAGAAACTTCTGCTTTCAAAGCTTGTGTAACATATGTCCTAGTACTGATATCTAAGACCCCAACACCTGGTCCTAGCATGCCTTGAATGGGACAATATGCAATCCGTTGAACACACTTCAGGTGCCTTATCTGGTATTTTGACATACACCACCACCCTCGATCCGTGTTTTCCTTGACACTAAGCACAAACAAGACTGCGTGCATACACAAAATACAATGGACGTCTGATCTACATTCTAAATGAGATGGAGCACATGGGACTGGCATGAGTAAGAGGGGAAAATGTGGGAGAGGAATCACTACACACAGAGTGTGGTTTGGGTTGAAATACCTACCATCATAATATTCCAAATTCAAAGACTGCTTGTATCAGAACAAAGAAACAACAAATTTAACCAAATGCGATTATATAAGGAAAAAGGAATGAGAAAAGAACTACTCAGTATCCCTCCACCAAGAAAGAAGTACGTACTGAGTTATACATGGAATTAAACTCCAGTAGAACATGGGCTGTCGAAATTTGGGCTCTGTGATGTCTTTCATCTCCTTTTAACGCTGGAAACTGTCCTACTGAAGTTGTAATTAGTTTTGTCTAGAGCTCAGGCGTTTACAGCTCACTTGTTAGGATAAAATTTAGGAAAAAATGTATTTTTGGAATCAGCAAAAAAAAGATAGCAAATCATTTAAAAAAACCTGATATCTACATAAACCTTACTGAGGCATAGAAGCCTACAGGTAGCTATTTGATTTTGCAGATAACACCAAAAAAATGAGTACAATATAAGCTGTAAACACTGGCTTTTACATCTCTAATCATGAGAAAAACACTAGTGCTGCAGATCCTAGAACCTTTTTTAAAAGCTTTTGGAGGCAGCAGACATAGACTCAAATGAAAGACAAAATATAGATGGCCAGCTAAGCATTCATTTTGCTGACAATCTGGAAAAAAATAATAAAAAAGCCAAAAAACTGCCAGCTTTAAGGACTTCAAGTTTCCTTGTTCCCAGTTCTACCACCAGGGAAAGGTTATTGGTAAAGAAAGAGAGAAAATGGCATTAAATTAGCAAGAAATTCCAAAGATCAAAGATTATTAGCAATTGATGCTGTGGGAGAGAGAAAGGTGGGGAGTGGGGAAAAAAGATTAAAAAAATAAAATCACACAAATGCACTAAGAGGACAGATTGCTTTTATTTCCCCAAAGGCCTAATAGGTAGTATTATACCTGCATGGTTTGCACCATAAACTCTGTCGGTCAAGCCCGAACAATGCCCGACACTTCTTTGGAGTATTTGCATCTGTTAGCATAAGGTAAACACAAAAAATACAACACAATGGTGGATAGAGCTCATTCGGTCTGTGTCATCTTAGCTACAGCTACGTTTAGCTTTCAATCACCTCAGTTTTATTTGGTAATCTCCCCTCGTACCAAGGGCAGGAATGAAAACAGGACTTTCACAATGAGCCAAAAGAAAACCAAAAAAAATCTCCGACACGGCCGTGCATCTGTCCAGTGTCGGTGCCGCGCTCAATGCCGTGTTATCAAGGGCTTTGGGGGCGACTTTCCTTGGGTGGAGGCTTGGAGGGCAGAAGCGTGGTTGAGCCACGGATCAGATGGGCTTAAGGCTGATGCTGTTTTACAGTGGGTTTTTGGCTAGCAGCAGCAAAGAAGAAGGCAAAAAACCAACCAACCAAAAAAAAAAAAAAAAAAAAAAAAAAAAAAAAAGCAAAACCCTTTCAGAGAGACAATAACTCATGGCAGTGTCCCACTCCCTTGTGTCTTCTAGATCACAACACAGAGCTACAAAGCAACAAGGCAGGAAAAAAAGGGGAAAGTACCAAATAAACCAGCTGCAAATCAGCCATAGCGAGTCTGGGAAAACTATACACACCTGCAGGGGCCGCACCAGTTATTCTGTTGATCAAGGCCAAAGCGCGCTCGGCATTTCTTAGGAGCGCTCAGGTCTGAATGAGTTCAAGAAAAGCGAGCAGAAAAGGAAGAGAGGAAAAAAAGAAAAGGGGAGAGGGGGGGAGAGAGAGAGAGAGAGAGAGAGAGAGAGAGAGAGAGAGAGAGAGAGAGAGAAGGGGAGGAAAAAGAGAAAGATAAAAATAAGGAAAAAATAAAAATAAAAAAGGGAATAAAAATCAATGTCCTCGTTATTAATTGCAAAATATTGACTTTTGATTTAAAGTTAAAAAAAAAAGTGATAATCACATTTTTATTCAACTCTTGAGATTAGCTGTTGCAATTAAAGCTGCAGTATCCCTTTATAAAGGACTGTTTCTTTCCCTTTTAAAAGAGCAGTTAGAGGAAAGTCATTGTAGCTGGTCTAGCAGGATGTTTCAGGCAAGATTTATTTGGGCTAGTTTTTTTTATTCTCTTTTTTTGAGAAGGGGAAAAAAAAGGAAGAAAAGAAGCTGAGTATGGAAGTTAGATCCTGAACATGCTTTTTTCTTCAACTCACATACAAAATAAGAGAAAAAAAAAAAAAGAAAAAAAAAAAAAAAAGGAAATTATATCTCCTGGGATAATGCAGCTTTTGGAATAACATTAAATTTTTATTTGTTTTATTAATTTGTATATAAAAGAATGGATAAGAATAAGCAGATTGCGGAATGAGTATGTTAGTATCAGCCAGAAAATAAAACGTAAAGCATGGCAAGGTGCTGAGTTAGTACAGCTAGTGAATTGCAATGAATAGAATTGAGCAGAAAGGAAAAAATAAAAAAAATTAAAAAATAAAAAAAATCAAAAACTAAAATAATAATAAAAAAATGCGTATGCATGCTAATGTGAGAAGACTTAGTGGGAGCCATGAAAAATGCCATTAGATTAAGGAGGTTCATTACTGACTTGCTTCCATTCTTTATCAGTCTCTTTAAAGAAATACTGCATATTCAATTTGCACAGTTAGTACAACTCTTGCGTTATTTTTACTGAATTACTGTTTTAATAGCAATTGTTACAAAAACGAAAAACAAAATTAAAAAATACTATCAAACATATAATAGATATAAAGATATATAGATAATAAATACTATCAAAACGTGTGGATGGTATTTTTTTCTTAATGTCATAAGTGTTTAATGTTAAAATCTATAATGGCAGGAAAAAAAAATTAAAAAACAGTTTATAAACTATTTTAAATGACTCAAAATGACGTTAGCACCTGTAATCGGAGGAAGTGAAAGGCAAGGATTTAGGAAACATTCGCTGTGTTCTGAAAAAAAAGAACAAATTATACAAAGGCTTCAAAAAAACTAAGTCAGGGCTTCTTCAAAATTGACTATGAGATTGCCTATGCAGTATTTCTAATTTCCTATATAGAATGGCAAACCTCCTTAATTTAAAATGGGTGCGATTTACCACTGTAAGGCATGCATCAGAACATACAGGTACAGCCCAAATTAATACCAAACACATACATACGTACGTACACGCACACATATATGCGCAAAATAAGCAGACGACTTTATAAATGATGGCATAGGCATTACAACTATGGCTCTGAAGTTAAAGGCTTCGCAATTACTATGTACAAATTCAGCTAACGTCACAAGAGGCTCTTACATGCAATGGCTTGGTTACTAGTTTTAGCAGGGCAATAACGTGTAAATAATTAGGAGTGCATTAAAAAAAAAAGGCTGTCTAGTATAGGGACCGGCTCCCTGTGAGGCCAGGAGACTCGTACCCACCTCCCCCGTACCTAGGAGCATCACACCGGGGCTGCCACACTTCCACTAAGCAAGAGATTTAGACTTATTTTTACTTACCATTGGTCTCTCCTGGCTGCTTATCCCTTTTCCTCTTCTTCTTCTTTCCCTGCAGGAAACATACACAAATGAGAAGGATTTAAAAACCCCCAAAATGCATGTCCTTGCATGATGGCACCGAGCGATGGGGCTGCGGCAGCTGTGGGAAGCTTCCCGGGGAAGACACCAAAGCACGGAGCCAGCTCACCCTCGGTGCAGGGAGGCCTGGGGGGTCCCCAGGGGATGCTGCACCCTGGGGATGGCTCTGCCTGCCCACCTTGTGACTTTTTGGACAGCCTCCCTGCAGCCCCCCCAACACTAACACCCACCAAAGCTGTAAGCAGCTGGGTGAACAAGAACAACTTGCAAGATGCTTCTTTTTTCATAAAATCATCATGAAGATGAAAATATTTGACACTTGTACGCTCTTGCATCTGGAAGTTTCAAAAATCATTCATGGTCACATTTTGGCAGGGCAGGGAGGGATAGAAGAAGGAGACTGAAGGGGGGACAGTGCATGACTGAGGTCAGATTGAGCCCCTGGAGTTCCTCAGCACCCAAACCTGACCGTCACAGCATATGAGGAAGCCACAGTAATGAGGAAATCCTAACCTGCAGATTTATAAGCACTCTGACAACCTAGGAAGCAAAGCCAGGACAAGAAAAAAATCCAGATATAACTAAGAACTTACCCATATTTTGATCTATCACAACGAAATAACCAGTAATATTTTGCTAAACTGTGTCCCTTTCCCAAATACTGTCCCACAAGATGATGCAATTTGTTACAGTTTCTGACTGGAGGGAGAAAGGCCCTCTCTCCATTTCCCTCCAGCGATGTGGGAGAGGACAACCGGGAGCCTGACTTCTGTGGAAACTCAACAATTGTTTTCCAAGGGAAGAGTTATAAAGTAATAAACAAAGCTTAAAAGAGAAAAGCTATTTTCTAAGAAAGCTCTTCTAACACTGAGCTACAGGGTTTGCAGAGCAGTACAAAAAGACCAGTGTAGGGGACAGAGTCATTTCATTTTCACAGCTCCCCAGATGCTAAAAGCAACGACTTTTGGGCCAGCAATGTCAACTGTGAACAGCACAAGAGATCACGGCTTTTGAAGATGTGGTAGTAAGAGAAGTTGGTGAAAAGACACCAGACCAGCAGTCTCTTGTGGTCAAGAGGGAACAAACATGTCTTGTAAGAAGGAATCACACAGCACTTCTGAAGGGTTAGACATATCTGTGGGGAAGCCAAAAGGTTCTCCCACATGGTGGACATCTTTCTCAGCAGGTTGGCCTGGCTCCCAGCTAAACGGTTACGATGGGCTTCAGCTTGGCACATCTACTCTAACATTTGTGACACACTATGATAAGTTCCCTGGAACATATTATTAAGAAATTCCCCCAACGTGAATGTTGGATTTTGATTTGTTGTTGTCATATTTTTCCTCCCCAAATGCCAGCTTTCTGGCACAGGGTTTCTGTACTCGTTCCCCCTTGCTTGCTCAGGGTTGTAAACTGCCACCCTGCTATCCAGGCTGTGACAAGCACAGTCCTGTCCACAAGAGCCTTCTGTTGATGGAAAAAGCTGTGTGCACCATCCATTTCAAAGGACTTTTAAACAACATGCATGTAATTCTGTCACCTGGATGCTACTGAGAAATCATCTCCAACACCTCTGAGGTCATTTTTGAAGATATGGAAAGTTGTCGCTCTGAGTCAATTGCTACAGCAGCCATCAGTCTAACATAACAGGCAGAAAAGATAGACAAGCACTCCTCCTAAAGCTCTCTGAGAATATAATAGGGAAAAATGTGGTATCTTGAAATCCACATATCACATAAAGATACAAGAGGCTCAGACTCTGCTCCATCTATATTGATCTATTTTGACAGTAACTCTGTGAAAGTCATTGAATTTTTTCCAGCTTTACAACAACGTAACCAAAACCAGACAATTGCCTCAGGACCATAAGCCTGATTTTTATTTAATCTCAAGGAAGCCACTTGCATAATTAACAGACTGCATCTGTGGCAAATTTGCTTAATTTTTGCAGTACGTTTGGGAATTCAAGGGCTATTTCTATTTGAGACCTTATAACTTCTTCACATGAGGGCCAGCCAAAAGAGAGGTCAGGAGTCACCTGCCCTTTACAAACTCTTCAAGCCAGGTATTAAAGTACTATAATTCCTTTAGGGAGCAATCTGTTAAAAATAGCCGATATACAGGAATGTCAGACAGGAACCAGGAATTTCTGGTTCCTTTTCAACACAGGCTTTGAAAACTGTTCCTAACAAAGAACTGACAGAGGCCCCACTACCTTCTTTTACACCCTTTTCAAAGGAAATAAGGAGGAGAATCACTTGACTTGCTTGTTCAGTTTCTGTGCCACAAGAAGATATTTGATTATGTAGCTAAATTAAGAGAGTTAATAAAAGAATTATGGCAGGAGTTTTCCAAGTGCTCTGCAGAAGACATGATTTTGCCTTTGCCTCAAACTGTCCTCCTAAGACCTGAGCAGATCATCTGTAACATTTTCCACCATGATACTACACAAATTCTTATGCTGCAAGTAAATGTGGATACAAATACCTGCTAACCATTTTGGCAGCTCCCTCTACACAGCCAAACCAACACGGGTTTTGACAGGACTGCAGAGTTCTTTGGTACTAATTTTCTAGACAGGCAGCAGGCGAGGTGACTAGACCCATACGTACTTCTGAGTCCAGCACTCAGCACCACTTAACATCTTGTATTAGATCTCAGGAAGAGCAAATGTGCCTCGTGACACCAACAAGCCACAAGGGATTCCATGAATCCTCTTCTCTTATTTAAGAGCCGGCTGAAAGCTGCGTTTCTTGAATGTACTGCTCCTGTTTCTGAAGACCTGGGCCTCATCCTCCAGCCTGATGCGAGATGCCTAACAAATTAACCATTTCAAGCAGCCCAAAGGCACACCCCTGCTAGATGTGTGAAGGGCCAAGACCCTACAAAATGCTGAGGGAGGAGAGGAACTCGGAGAGCTCTGAATGGACCAGGAGAGGAGAAATAAATCAATCCTGTGCATGATGCAATCGTATGATGCAAATGTACCGTGCTGACCTCAGGCAGGAAGGTTCCCCCTGAAGGTCACTTGGGGGTACAGCGTCAAGCCGCTGGGAAAGCACCGGCTTTCTCATCCTGTCCTTTTTAGCTTGAGAAGAAAGGGTTTCGCAGTGCTCACACGGCGAGGACAAAAGTAAAAGGTCCTAAACACTGAAGGCTTTGTACACGCCCATCTGTTGGTGGCAGTCACTATGCAGAATGAGCGTTCCTGAAACCTCGGTGGATCCTACAGTCCCTCCTGAACGCTGAAGAAGATGACACTGCACAGTGACGAAGAACCAACCCAAGCCTATGGTCTGACAGTCTCAGGTCAGACTATGACAAAAAGAAAGGGAAAATGTGTTTAAGCAGGAGCAGTTCCTCATTGGGCTTAACGAGCTCTCCTCTGAGGAGCATGCACAGCTACATGTGCAACGGTGAACAAAAGAGGAAGTGAGGCAGAGCCCAATGGAACAAAAAGATGATCAAGAAAGAACAGAAGGATTTGAAAACATGTCCTTAAGTACATATTGCTAAATAAGAAAGCATGTGTATTCTCCACTCCTGAAAGAGTGGAAGAGCACAGAGAGCTGCTGCTGCTCTCAGCTTTGCTGCAGACTCTGAACTGCCTTCTTCCCATCCATGCACGTAAAAGTGCAGATTCTCACAGAGGTAAACGTTGCCATATACTAAGCACACAGTTTATGTGATTTACTGCAAAGCAGGATATTTATGGTAAAATAGGCAGTGATGATGATGATGATTGAAGAGACAGAGTTCAACAAAACCAAAATGTTTAACACTATACATAACTGACCAATGCTGGTCCCCAAACCTGTAGGAAAGTCTGCCTGGAAGGTAGGGAGCAGGGTTTATTCTGGAGTTAGAAACCTTGAAAGTTTTAGGTGATTTTTATTTAAATTTAAAAGAAAAATAATCAAGATGCTGCTTTAATCCTATTAAAGAGAGTTTAGAGCTCCCATCAATCCACAAACCTGTCAAGAATTTATGAGTTTAGGATTGCAAACACTTACTACCAGCTGCATCGCTTATCCTTCATGGAAGAAGGGGTTATATACTACTAGTAAATGGTCACAATGCTGGCCTTATGTTTTTAACAGAAAATTCTATCACTTTTAGCTACAAAACAGGCTTTCTGAAAGGTGGAGGGGTGAATCAATCTTAAAACACCCCATGAATTGATCACAAACTCCAAAACACTTCTTAAAAAATGAGGGGGGGAGGGGGGGGAGAGATAACATGGCCATGAAAAAGCAAGACATAATTGAAATACACAACAGTAGAGCGTGGAATAATTAATTTAACCCCACTTGAGAGTAAGACTTTCAAACGAGTCATGCTTTTGGTTTTGCCAGTCCTTCTCTGAAGCTAGGATAAGTCATTCTTCCACTTTCCACTATACTCTCACACAGATAAGCACAAGACACTAATTATTCATCTTTTTGGTGGAAAGGAGAGGAGCCATACTGGGGGAAATTTTAATTTTGTTTGAAAAAATGAAATTTAAAATGACCAGCAAGCCAAACAGCATTTCCAGATGCTGGTAAAAGTGAAGGCAAGAGTTTCTTCACAGAGCTCTACTGTCATGCCCCAACTCTAACCTTTTACTAGTCCCAGCCAGGAAGCCTTTTCCAAGTGGAGGGCTGGGACCTATCCCCAATAGTTTTAGTATCGCAGAGGGAAGCGTCCGTTGTTGTTACCAGATTGGGATCCTGAGGCACGCTTTCCAAGTAGTGCTTGTGTGCAATGTGTGGTCGTAGTTCAGAAGGTCACATATACATTTCTACAAGCTCTACGACTAAAAAAATTTCCACCTACATAGGAACCTACATAGTTATCCCGTGCGGACCAGCCCGGGTACAGCTGCATATGAAGCTGTCGCTCCTTTCTTGCTAGTTCATAGTATTTCGCTTGTTCTTCTCTGGATAACGCATGCCACTGAGGTGAAGAAAAGAGAAAAAGACAAAATAAAAAGCACAAGTGGTTGTTTTTTTTTTTAAGTGTGTTAGCAGTGGAGTGTATTGTTTATATATAAATACAGCTAGAGTTGATTTTTATAAAAAAGAAATAAAACCAGATGATCTGGCATGCTGACACTCATATTTTATTTATAACTCCAGATTATAACTCCAGTTAATTCAACTGAGTCACAACTAATCATTTATGTTCACTCAGCCCCTTTGTCTCCTGATGAGAGAGGAGAATTAAGAAAACTAAACAAAAACAAAGAGCAGGGGAGATGGTCCAGAAACTGAACACTTGTCCTGAGCCAGATGTCAGTTACAGGTTTAGGGAAGGTCTCCCTTCCCCCCTGGCACCCCCTCTCCTCTTCCAGCTCTCACAGGTGCTGATACTGGTACTGTACCCAAAGGCTTTTCCCCTCCCCATTTACTTTTCCACCTGTTTTAGGACAAAATAAAAATCTGAGATTTTTCCATCTACGGGCCATGGAAATAACACTGAAATAACACAGATATTAACTAACACTCCCTCTTCTTCATGAATGACCCCATTGGCAAAAAGTGTCTGTGAAAACCGAAAATGAAACCAAGGCTTTTGGTTCAGTAAGTTCTATATACATTATCAAAATATCAGGAAAACACAGTTTATTCAGAAGGTGTGAATCCTACCGAGTGTCAGCCCCTGCTTGTGCTTCTCCCTTGTTACCTACCCTTCGACCGAGGATTTGGTTGATGGCTGCACTCTCTTTCAATGTGCATTCTGCTACAACTTTTGCTCTCATTTCCTTCATATACAACATAAATGCATTAAGAGGTTTCTTTATGTGTGGCTTCTTTTTCTCTTCTTCTTTTTTGGAGTCCTGATGTTTTCTGAAGGGTAAAGATACAACAAACAGAAAGCTCACAGTGAGAACCCTTGTGAATTTATTAAATTAATCCCCTCAATCTCTCTAGCATTAATCCTCAGAAATCTCTAGGAAGAGGACCAGAAGGTTCTCTAGAGCCTTCACCCTGGCTGCTGTATGAGACGAGTTTTAAGAGCATTATAAGAAAACCCATCTCATGTTTATGCAATATCACCAAGTATCCTCTGAGCCCCTAGAACAACCTTGGAAGGACATGGGCACCCAGGATAATGGGTTCATGTGGAGGGCTTGTAAGTATGATGGTAGAGGAAATAATTACACCCCATTATCGATGGGAACCAAAATGGTGTCTTTCTGTTTCAACCATGAAATGGAAGGCAAGAAGCACCAGCAGCACTAGAGGCAGAGGTAGACCAGGGCTCTCCTTGGTTCAAACCCAAACTTGACACCAGCTCTCTCTGAAGCTTTGAACAAGACATTTCTGCTCTTATTTATTGTTTCCTGTTGTGTATCCGGCATCTTACAGCTTCAAACTGGGCACTGAGTAACAGGGAAACTGGTCAAGAAACCTGAATCTTGATCAAGAAAATTTAACTTCCTTGATAAAATAGGTGAAATTAGTAAGTACTTGTCTGTTTCACAGAATGACTCTAAAAGACTGTTACTATTTTGACACACTTTGGTAGTTAAACCACCATTAAATCAATTAGAACAGAAGAGAAATAGCAGATTGAAAAATTATTTTACAGCAAAAACTTTCCCACAAATCTAAGCCTTTTTAAAAGCCACAAATGCACAGGTGATGCTTTGGGTGTTCTAAAAAGAAGACACGGGAAGCAAGAACTTACGAGCTGTGGAGTGAGCCGACGTCACTCTGGGAAGATTCCTGTTTGACTGTTGGTGTGACTATGGCCGGATGAGGGATTCCAGTTGTATGTAAACTATGATGTGGCGGGACCATGTGTGGAGGAAACCTAGAGGAGAGAAAGCTGTGTAAATCGTCAGAATAAAAATGAATGAATGGGGAGGGATGTGTACACACATTAAAAAAAAAAAAAAGGCATATAACAAGCACATGACAGCTAGACAAAGCATATGAAAGCTGGCAGCATTAATTAGCAATAAATTAAACATAATGGCTCTTCTAATGTCATTAAAGCCAATCTTCCCCTTCATTATCATTACTGACATGAGACATCATGATTTTTAACATCTTTAACAAAAGGAAAATTCAACTGGATGAACTTGGATGAAAGTGGAATTTCAGCTACCTGTAGGAAAATCCACCACTACATTTATTTGCTCAGAAATAATCTGTGGCAACCAAGGAATAAATTTTTATAGTTCTGAATCATGTTTTGAATTTGGGATGACATCTTTTATTGCACATTGACAGTAAAACAAAATATTAATGCCAACACAACCCAGATGCATTTTTGGTAATTCTTATAGATGCCTCATTAGCTACATTTTTTTGATTTGGCAAAAGAAAGTATTTATTTCTGTCTAATAAATCTCTGAGCCACATTGATTTAACAGAAGATGGGAAGACTGTAGAATTAAGTAAATTTTGACCCATTAAGGTAACCTAGGAAGGCTTAAATTAATGCAAAAGAACAGTTTAGCCTTTCTAAGAAGAAAGAAATGTTGTCAGCTTTATGGTTTATGGTCATATACATGGACAGGTTCCAGTCCTGCAACTGGATTCAGAAGGATGTGCCATCCTTCTGCAAGAATCTAATTGCTCGGTTGGGGTCACGGCACAAATGTGGCGCAATCATTCAAACTTTTTACATTTTAACCGAAATGAACACACTTCTCAAAAGCAAGATTGACTTCTTATCATTATTTCTCAACAGTCTCAGAAAGGTTTTGCACTGAATAAGAAAAGCACACTACGACTGACTGATTTTCCTTTGGAAAACCCCTGCTTAAGTCAACAGGTTTCCAGGGAATGGAATCTAACCTAATTTTGGCTCAGAAATAACTTCCCCCAAAATTCCAAAGCTGAAGTGATCTGATAAATGATAAGGTATCTTTATAATTGAAAATCCCTACTCTCATCTCAGATTTTGAACCATCTTGGTCCAAATAAAATATCCCAAGAATATGGAACATGCAATGGGATAAAGAATTATTATCAATATACACTGATTTTTTTCTATCAAACATGATTTAAAATGGGGTGATATACCATGGATAAGTAGACTGTGTACAAGTATCAGAAATATAATGGTATTTCTTTTTCTTCCCCATCCCCCCAGTTCCATTACTGAGCTTAACACCCCGCCCGAACTGCCTAGATATTCCCTACATTCACAAGATGACACAGTAGTAGTTTCATGAACAAGAGGTACTGTCCACTATGAACTCTGAGGACCTTTGTCTATCAGCTGGTAGTACTCAGGATCATTAGACAGAGGCAGTGGCGGGAAGAGCAGGGACTGACAGGGAGAATGTGAAATTGTCCCAACTGTAGAGAACTGTAGCTCCTCACAAAGGCATGGAGGGAAGGAAAGGCGGGGGGTGTGATGGCAAGGGAAGAGGAGAACAGGCAGCAAAATGGCCTTTTCTACTTCCTCTAAAGACTCATGGACACAAATCTCCAAGTGGTTTGTTAAATGCCTTCCCCACTCTGACAAAAGTAGCTGGGAGAGCAATGCATGTTTGGGGAAGTGCTTTGGTGCATGGTAGGTCAGAACAGAAGACAATGGCGAGGCTGAAAGGAGACCGATATTCTGGCCCCACTTCTGCCACAGAATTGCCTCACCATCAGCAAGATACAAACTGAGCCTTTATATTTTTTTTTTCTCTTCTCCCTCTCTATTATTTTTGTGTGTATGTATTTTGATTGGACATACTTAAAGTTTGTTCACACAGTGCCTGAGGCCTTCAGTCACAGTACAATGCAAACAATAAAAACTAACAGTAAGAGCTCTTTTTTTAAAAAAAGTAACTTACAAACATGGGCGAAAATAAAATCCATGGCAAAATCCTGATCTCACTGAAAGTGGTATAAGCATAGTGATAAAAAGTTGACGTGCATCCTATCGAATGACTGTCTTAGGCAAGACCCAGCGTTCACGAGAGGACTATGCTACTGGGTCTAGCTAGGGTTCAAACCGGAACGAGAGCCAGCGACAATGGGACAATGAAGGATGAAGATGGAGACACAAAGCCTACCTTCAGAGAGCAGGCAGGGAGAGCTGCGCTTGTTTGACATGAGGACACAGTGTGAAGGCCAGTGGGCATATACCAGCAAGAAGAATTTCTGAGTGCAGTGGTAGTACAAGGACAGAAGGGTATGAGAGCAGACCTGAATAAGATTAGACTCATCACTGGAGAAGGGCTCCCAAATATCACAAAAGACTGATTATAGCTGGAGGTAATGGGGACAAAAGATGCGTGCTTGTTAAGCTTCTGAAAAGGATCCCGTGATGGGGCCATAACCGGGCCATAGACTTGCTCCTCAAATAAGCATCTGGTCAAAAATCAAAACATACTTCACAATGAACTCTGCCTACATGGTGGATTGCTGTATGGTCAGGATGTTCAAAGGAAACAAATTCAACAAAAGATAAGTGGTTGTTTTAGTCATTTATTTTTGATGAAGATTTAAGTACCTCCAGCTAACAAAAAACTGAGAAGGGTGAAGAAAATCTGCAAAAAATGTAACTGCCCTCCCTAATTATGGGAAAAATGTTTTCCTATCTACTGTTTAGAAGAAAGAGAGTAAGCATTTGCACATTGGAGAGTGACCAGATGGGGAGAAAAGGTAGTGGAGGAGAAGACAACATACGCATATTGTGTGAAAGCCTAGAAGATGGTAAAGCCACTACTGACTTCATCTGGGCTACAATTTTAATCACTGAGCTCTACACTTCAGAGACACAGGAGCCTTCATCAACAGGCAGCTACAGCTCAGTAGTTATTTTCAGGGTGGCAGTTTCCCCAAGGAAGTTGTGTTCATTATCAGTGACCGTTCATTATTTCACACCGAACTTCTCTCCCTCCATGACACAAAGCTGCCTATTGGCCTTACACACCCCTTCCTATGTTTGGGGCTATAAAAACATCCTCCAGAACCCAAAGTTGCTCTCACAATCCCATGGACTTCAGTGAGCTGCGTGAGGGTTCAGCCCAAAGTCTGAGTGCCTACTTATTTCCATGTAGACATCCACTCACTTGGCAATATAAGTTGGGGAAGAGTGTTAATTTTTAAGTTCCTGGCTATACTCCAGCTTCAGTAATTACATTCAGCAAAAGTGAATTTCCCCTGAAATTTCAATTACAGAAGGTATTTTCCACTGCCACCACTTAACTGCCGTGCAGTGTTTGTCTGGTGTAATTCTGCTAAATTATTTCCTTATTTCCTCTCACAGCAGTTGTTTTTTCATAGTGGGTCCACTGTTTGCCCATCAGTCAGTTAACCCGGTCTCAATTTACATTAAGGGAATATTATAGAAGGATAATGAAGGATTGAGAGATGTTATAAGCATGTTGCACGCATACAAAGTGAGCGGGGTGATGCTATAAGCAGAGAAAAGAGTTGTAAATGGTTAAAACAACCTGAAGACACTACCTTAATAGTCTAAACCATTTATGAAAATCACTATTAGTCGCCCATTAACCTTTTATAAACTATTCATAAGCACACTCTAACTAATGAACTGTAATTACTAAGCTTAGGGAATATTCAGGATTGGGAAGCATTATATGCTCCAGCAATCTATACCGTAATGCAGGCAAAGACAGAAATGACTTTTAAAGGAAGGCTCTTGTAAAACACAGATGGAGGGGCGACACTGGGGTCTGCCCTGGCTTCAACATTTGGACAAACCCAACACAGTGACCCCAAGGATTGTAGCAGGGCCCTGCAGGGCTGCTGCCCGGAGGCCAGCCATGAACGGCGTGTCTGCAGGCAAGCGTGGGCATCCCCGGGCACACCAGCCCCATCTCCCAACTACGCTGGCTACTTGGGGCGAGGGCTGTCCCACGGCTGAGCTCAGGCGCTCCAGCTGATACGGCGGGCGTGAGAAAACACGCGTTGAACCACGTATCAGAGCACGGTCTGCCCAGAGGGTGTTCCCAGGTATGGGAAACCAAGAGAGTTTCTGGGCTGAAACAAAGGATAAACATCTTAAATCTATTCATCAGTCTGCGTGTGTGTCTGAGTATGCGTATGCGTATGGGCTTATGTCAGAGACAAAAAGAAAGGCTGTGTGCGTATATGCACACTCCTCACCTTCGTCTAAGACATCCCCCCGTATTTTTTTCTCTAAAAGTATTCTGTGAATTGCAATAAACACCCTAAAAAATTCTAAGCAGCTCATTATACACCACTGTCTCCTTTTATGGCTCCAAGCCAGAATATAATGATGAGTCTTAACTTGTTAAGGACAACTAATTTTTTGTTCCTGGCTGTCTCAGGGGCTTCTCTCTTACTCACTCTCACTTTACTTCACTGTTGACATGTTTCTGTTAACTGGATGTCATCTGCCTGCCTTGATTTTATGCACAAGCAGTGGGATGCATTTTTCTGTGCAACAATTCTGCTTTGAGTTGCATTAGATTTGTCATTATTCTCTCATTTTCCCCTTGCACTCGTAACATTTCATCTATTCCTGCCTTATTTTTTGAGCCACGGTGCACCCACATTATGGTTTATACATGATCTTGCTCCCTTTGAAGCCGGCAGATTTCAGAGCCAGCCCTCGTCAGGAGAAGTGCCTGCTACCAATTTAGCAGGCTGAGGGCCCCGAGCTCCAACAACTCAATCTAAAGGGGGTCACAGGGTGGCACAAGCGAGTGTCAGCAAGTGCTGTTTAATTGCCAATCTAGGCTTCTCCATGGTGTTTAAAGTATAATGACCCATCACTTAATTCTGAGAAGTCCTGGCCCTGCTGCTGAATGGAATGAATATCAAAGGATGTGCTAGAACAGGGCAAGGAGCCTACATTTCCTATAACTGCCATAAGTATAATAGACCTCTACTTCTGTCGTCCCATTACCACAATAATGTATTTAATTTGCTGTGTACTCTTTTTAACTAGATACCTTTCATAAAGCCTATCTTGGGAATATAGCCTCCCCCCTCCCACATCTCCCCCCCTCCCTCAAATGACTAGCCTCTCTAATAATAATTAAACTAAATCAAGCTCTACTTTGCCTCACACCATGCCTGCAAGTCTTTTATAGATATTAAAAAAGATTAAATGGAGGGAGGGAACCATTGTTTAAATTTACAGCTCTTTCCGCAACCCAGGATTTTTTCTTCCCCGTGCTGGGTCTGTTTTTTTTTTAAAGTTGATTTTCCAGTTGTCTCTCTATTTGCTGGAGTAACACAGGCAAATTTTAATTTTTCGCTTTTACTCTACTTACCTAAAGCACACAACACACTACTTCCCTCCCATTCACTCATGAGCTCTAGTCACAGGTTTCCATTTCTCAGCAAGGTGTTTTTCCCCCCAACCCTCCCCCTCCAATCTCTTCCTCCTTAAATCCTCTATACACCAACCTTCACATATTAAACTGCAGAGATGGAGAGGAAGGGACAGAGCAGGGAAGAGACGTGGAACCTTGCTATGTAATGCATGCTAATTTAATTATGTGCCATCATCAAAATGGATTAGCTGTTTCAGCCCATCAGGAAAGTCTAAACCTCCACCGATTTAATTAACCAGACTGAAAATCAGATGAACAGAAAATAAAACTATCATTAGGAGCAATTAGTGATTACTTAAACATAGTGCTGCCAACCAGTTTGTAAATAAAACTAGCAGCCCCTGGTAAATTAGATGGAATTAATTGGAGCTAAGGAGAGGGAGAAATATATACTTCTAAAGCTTTAGAGGGTCAGGCAGGCCCTTTTATGTTGACTATCAGTGTTTGGAGCTTTGGTAGGGGAAAACACAGTGCAATAACCTTCCTCCCAACTCTGCTTGAAGAACAGCCCTCCTCCCTCCCGAGACTCCCCTCTTGCACACAGTGCGCTGCTCTGGGTGACAGCCACCAAGAAAGCAAAAGGTATCATGACTTCTCCTCCTTGCTTTTTCAACATCACATTCCCCCAGCTTTTTCATTTAGTTCAGCTTTTAAGGATGACTTCCTGCTCCTCCACCTCTCTGTCAGAAACAAATTCTTAAAGCCCAGTGACAGCAGTAGGAAACCGTCTTCTGAGATGGGAAGGTACCCCTTGCCCTTTCCTCCTCTGCCCCACTATAAAACTAAGGATGACCATTTAATTGAAGTGATTTCAGACATACGCTTCCTAGATGAAATGCCCTTCTCTAGAGAGGGCAGCAGAAGGCGTTACATTCGCTCTTGATTCAGGACCTCAGCATTTGAACTCACCTTGACATGGAAGCATTGACGGTCAGAGCTGTTGGGTATGGGTGGCGGAAACCCCCTGTTGTGATTGGGTACACTGGCTGACCTTGCCTGGCAAAAAAGAAGGGAAAGAGAGAATGAGAGAAAGGAAAAAGAGTTTAAAAAAAAAAAAAAAAACCCACAACAAAAAACTTCTCTCTGCACAGTAAGCTTTATTCTCATTTGATCAGAACAAAAATCTTGGGGATTGTACAGCAAGGATCAAAGGAAAGAAACACAGAACAATTTGAATGCCATAAATCTGATAGGAATGGCTAATTAAATTTTATAACCTCTGCTTATGTCAATAGAGACCCTCTCCCCAAGCTGAAACTAGGTGTTTTGTTGTAATAATTAAAGGCGAAGTCTCGCTTGCTTTAATGGAGCCATCACACTAATTGAGGGCTACACATCCAAAGGAAAACAATAATGAATGTAAATTTATACCAAAATAAAGTACAGTGAATCAAAGGACTTCAGTTGCGCTTTGGGCCTCTTTCGGTATTTAGATCTCGGTGAGAAAACATTAAATTAACAGAGCTTAATTTGTAGCCTTTTGTCAGATTAACAAGTGTTGACAAGAGTTACCGGGGGAGAGTCCCCAAGAAGTATTGTGGGTAACCAATAGACAATCACACCTCATTACAATAATTAAAAAATACAGCAACATGCAAAACAGCATCCTCATGAAATACACACAACTTTTTCTGATTGAGGTTTGTCTGTGCTGGCTAGTTCTTTTCATCTGTCCTTCAAATATATCATCTGAGTGGGCAGGATGCTTTCGGAAGGGTACTGTGCTAGCGACATCCAGGCCAGTTGAGGACAGATGGGTTGGGAAGTTGATGGTGAAGCACAAGTGGAAATGAGAAGGGAAATTAAAACCTTGGGTTACTTCTACGAAGTTGGCCATGCTACCTTCCTAGAGCAAAAGCAAATGTGATGGCATCACCCCTCAACAAAAGCCACTCAGAGAAGCTGTAAGAACTGTGGGTAGGTAAGTATGTCATGGGTGTTGACTTGTTATAAACCAGCAGTGATGACAACTGTCTTCCTGTGACGGAGGTGGCCATTAGCACCTGCCTGATGAAACTGGCCACATGTGGCAACATTCACGTGGTTTGGCAGCCATGACATGAGGTTCGAGGAGGACAAACCTGTGTCTGCACACATAAAGATGTAAGGCTCTGAGACACAGATGAGCAACAAGGTTCAGGTCAACAACAGTGAGGAATTTCTTCCCTCCACTCTCATGGCTTTAATGTTTCTGACTTTTGGCATTAGCTGAGTATGCTTGTTTTAAATGCTGAGCTCTTACTGTGCAAACTTGAGCTAAGCAGTGGCAACAGAGGAGCATGAAATGGCTGTACTGCAGCTTGGCCCTGCATGCAAGAAATAATTAAAGGAGCTGACATGCATTCTACCAGCGTTCAGGGTGTCCTACATAAAAGTAAATCACCACAAATGAGGAGGAATTTAAGATTTCAGGGAGCTATGCTCTGGGTTTTTCCTCGGCTCATGCTGTGGTCTTCTGGAGAAACAGCCTTCTGCAGAGAACTGATGGACATGCTTCGCCCTCAGGGTGGGAGAGCTTCTACCCAAACAAGTTGCACGACCACCCTGCCAAGAAGAGCGGCCTGCAAAGCAGCCAGAAGCGGGATGCTGTGGCTGCAGCCCCAGCTCCAGCTCTCCTGCATCCACACTTCTGTGCTTGAGAAAGGCCCCCAAAGCCTTTGACACCAAACCTTCTCCCTGCCCAAGACCTGGGTGTGTGTGGGGACCTCCTGCTCTGCCCTGGTCTCCTACGGGGTGTGAACTCCACTTCTTATATGGAGGGCAAACTTGTGACGAGGTATTTTAGCGCAGCTGGACAAACAACCTCAATGAGTAACAAACTATTTCTAGCTTTGGGAAATTAATTTCTAAAGAAATATGATCTCCCCAAACTTGATGAGGCTTGTTATATCAGAAAAATAGAGTAATACTCTTGATTTGTAATTCAGAGAACTGTTGTATCTCGCAATACAAACGTATTTTATAAGTATTTAGGTCAAATATACTGTACAAAAGGCCTAGGCAGTGCTTAAGTGCATTATAAACTCATTGTAGAGACAGCGACGTATGAAAAAAAAAATAAAAGGCCTCAGTTACTGGGGGGAACCCAGTAATACTGAACAAGGCTCTGCAAGTGGGATATGAGGAGCTGAAAAGAAAACAGAACCCCAAACTAACTTTCCATGGCTTTTTTTCTTAGCTAGTTTTAAAGTAAACTAATTCCTCTTCCTTGTTTGCAAGAAAATTCCATTCCTCAGATGCCAACTGCCCAGCCACATCTCAGCCAGGAATGCTGTTCACTGCCCAATGTAAAGCTCTACTGTTTCACAAGAAAAATGAAAAGGGTTTCAATGGGGAAGGCCAATGAAATTTAAAATTGCACATTTATAGTGAGGGTGGCCCTGGTAAAAAAGAGTCCCTGAGAACCACTCTGAGCCTACAGAAAACCAAATCTGAGAAAAACCCATGTGGTGCAGTGTAAGGGCATTAACAAAAAAAGGACGTTTCTGCAGTAGTGTATAAAAATTCATGCTTCGCGAGCCATCAGCTGGTTGAGAGGACATGCATGTTTCCAAGTACTCATGTTTGTTTAAGACCACATGACCTGGCATAAGTTTTAATTAAGCTTCATGAGGTAGGTAAATTCATAACTAGTCAGTGAAGTGGCAGTTGGCAAACAGACTTATCTCAATGCACACACACATGCGCAGGCACACACACATACACGGTTTTAACATAAATTTTACACAGCAAAAAATAAAAAGGAAATAAAAAAAATGGAACTCCTTACTGTGGTACTAACCATCCTAGCGGATGGGGGATTTGTCCTACAGTGCCCGGTGATAACGGATAATAAGGAGATATATCTGGAGGATGTGGAGGCCTTGGAATTCCTATGGAAGACAAACATAAAGCAGCATTAGTATTGAGACATGGAAATAAATAAAATATAAAGAACATGAACATATGTTTCTAAATTGCTACCTATTCATTTTTATTACAATACTCATGGCTTCACTTTGGGTTTTCAAAGGCTGTTTCACAATCTTATTTTATAAAGTAAGACTCTTGGCATCTTGCTAAATGAGATTCAGCCAGTAAAAACGATGTGATTCCCTCAGTCACCTCTCCAATCGGAGATAATTATTTTGTTATTTAGGATGAGAATTTAGAAGTCTCAGCTATAGTTTTGGTGTGATGCTGTGCTAAGTGCTGTCTTAAATGCTCAACAGAAAGATGGTCCCTGTGTCCACTTCATGGCTATTTTAGTCTCAAAGTCATCAGAAGAGCACAGGCCCTACCCATACGTTGACTGGGCACTCAATAGCATGGCGTTATTCCAAAGTAACCTCCAAAACGAGTTACAAAGTCACTGTAATTGCAAATGATGTTTGTTTTTGAGCAAAACTAGGAAACCTGTCCTGAAACCTCAGAGTGGAGGTGAGAGCCCCTGGAGATGCTTAGCAAAACCAGGGGCAGATGTTAAAGGTGGAGGGGAAGACAGAGAGCCCATCCATCCTCTCTGAAACTGATGCAGTTCCTATTCGGAGAGCAGACACCAGCTCCAGACACAAGCCTGAAATCTTAATGCTCCTTACCTTACGAGCAAGTAGGAGTAAGTACTCAGAGGAGTAAGGGTTACAAGACTGTGTCTTTCAATTAACAAGCCAGAGCAAAATTACACAGCAGAGCAAAATGAAAACAGAGAGCATTAAAAGGAAGGGGTACTGTATTCATGGCTAAAAACTATTTCTTTAAGTCATTCGGGAAGCTTTTAATCTCTAAATTAAATCTCCTTGTATGACATTTTCATGAAGACATTGCTTTTTCTCCATTACAAAACTCAAACAGATTAACTGCGCTTTAACCATCCGGTGAGCTATTTGCACACTTGAAAGAATGTTCACAGAAGAAAAGTAAACAGTCTACAGACGTTAATCATATGTTTTACGATAACCATTTAAAAGCTATTCCCTCTACTACGATTATTTAAATGAGAGGTTGACTATGCCATTCACTTGCAATACCCAGGGATGTCGAGATGGATTCCTTTTAAGCCATGTGAAGTTAGCATTAAGCACAATTAAAAAGGGGCCCCAGTTGAAGTGTAGGGAGTGAAATCCAGCTAATGCACAGCCTCATTGAAGGGCTGGAGTTTAGATAAATTATCTGCATACGTTAGGGCTGACACAGAGTGATTCCTTTGACGTGAATTCAGTTTCTAACTAGCTGGGATTTGGATTAACAAAAACAAAACCACTGTCACTAGGAACTCAATGCCGCCTGAAGAAAGAAGATTGACATTGTTTGACTTCTCTGGACCCTCAGGTTAAACAGGGACTCTTAAAAAGTTAGAATAACATGTAAATTCTACTCTGTAACACCAATAAATCTAGTCAGGGTTTTACACGGTGCTCTATATTCAAGAAGACTGCCCTTCAGGCTGAACTGAGAGTTGGGTAGACTTACACTGGGGAAAAGAGTTGCAAGTGTAGAGCTGGAGCTAAGTAGTTAGAGTGGATGAAAATTCAACATTATAGGAGAAAAATGGCTGAACTCCTGACACAGAAACAATGGGATTTGGGGAATTAAAAGAGATTCATTTTGAAACCGGTCATGACCCACCACCTTTAAAATTCCAGCTGCAATTTTGTAAGTGCAGATCACAGAATGTACATGTTTAATTCTCTGGGTCATGCATGCAAACCAAGCACTTGGTAGATCAAACTATTAGGTGGCATATCACGCTCGCAAAGAAACACACCTGCAAATGACCTCACACATGCAACTCTGGTGTCACCCTGCAGAAGCTTTATGAAAATTCACCCAGTACGTTTCCTTCTGAAGCCTAATTGGCTTGAAAAGAAACTATTTCGTCTGGGTTCTTGCATGCATTTGACGTTTTACATGTCCCCTTTGGTGCTTGAGCATGAGAAATCCTTCCTCCCGCACTCCTTCCCCCTAACATGCAAAATGGAAAGATCCACCCACCCACTCTCAAAAAAACCCCAAACTATTTCCCACCTACCTGTTTTGGGATCTACGTCAGCTGGTAAGTGTGGAGGAGGGTTTCCCGGTGTGAAGTGCTCATTGCTGTACGTGATAAGCGGCGTAAGAGGGTGTACATGGTGTGGGTGCTGCACAACTGGCACTTTGTTAGACTGTCAAAAGAAGAATGTCGACGACGTTAGAAGAGTGCCAGGTACTCTCCACTGCAGCACGAGGCATGACACACAGAAATCTGAGTACCAAGGATTTCAACATGGTCCTCAGACTTTTCCAGATCCCTTCTTGGCATCACCCTTGCAGTCTTCCCACCCTCTTGCTTAAAACCTCCTCACACACTTCCCCTACTCTTGAGTTTCTTTAATCTTTTTGACCTGTCATGCTCCTGTACAGAGCAACAGCAATTCTTTAAAATTTTCCCTTTTATTTTAGAATCTTGTGCTTTACCTCCAAGACGCAGGCAGACTCCTCCAGTGAGGGGCTGACAGAGTACCCATTAAATTAGCACGAGACCCAAATGCTTACTGACCTGTAGGTCTTTTCCTTTCCCCTTCCTGTCCTCACTTTCTGTTCTGCATTTTACTGCACATTGCAAATACTCCAGATAAAAAGCCTTTGTAGTGCTAGAGTATTCCCTTCATCAGCAAGCATTAAGCTGACAAGCGATCACCTGCATATTTTATATATATATATATATATATATGTATATTTTAGAAGAGCTAATTAATTATCAATTCATCAGAGAGTGCTAATAAATAGAAACTGGATACTGACGAATTAGGCTACTAAAATATTCAGCTATATAAATAATGGCAAAACCACAGTTAAAGCCATTGAAATTAACTCTTGGGGAAATAATCACGCAGATATCATGAGGTTTTCCCTGTCGCATTCCTAGCTCTGGGAGTAAAAAAAAAAAAAACCAAAAAACAACCAACAAAATCTTTCCTTAACAAAAAAAAAAAAAAAAAAAGGAGTGAATGAATGAAAGAAAAAGGCAGATTGAACTGTAACTTACCCTTACAAGATCACAAAGAAAAAATTAAGCTGAAACAAGCGAACTGCTGGACCATTTACTGCGAGTAATCCAATTGCAAAAAACCCTATTCCCCATAGAGGATTTTCACTAAAATCCTACAACAGGGACATTTAACCAGATTAGGTACCAGCAAAGATAAAGAGGCTGGTATTAGATGATGAATGGATTAGAGTCAGGTTTCATTTTAGAATGTGTCTTCATTTCCTTTTATTACTTTAAGTAAGGAACAACTTGCATTAACATCAAGTAAAAGGAATCACATTAAAATAAAGTAGTGATACCACGGTGGCCCCCGATAGCGCCGCTGCCGTTCAGGATCTGCCAGTGCTCCCCTGCTCACCCTGACCCCACCGCCTGCTCCCCAGCACCCCCAAACACGCGTCCCCTTGCCACGCCACTTCAGACAAGTTATTATCTGATCTTGGTTCGAACGGTCCAAGCTTCCCTTAAAAGCATTTCAAAAATAGTGCAGTTGTTCTTTGGGAATGAGTTTCTAGACTAGGGGGGAAGGAAGACAGAGTTAAGAGAAAAAGAAACATCAGTGTTCCCTGAATAAAGAAGTCCTCCCGTCATGCTTTGGTCAAGCCAAGCTTCACCTTCAGCTCTTGCAGCCTCCCTCACCCGGAACGGCTCCTCCAACCCCTGCCATATGTAGCTATTTGACTCACCCCTTTGATAACCTGCAGAAAAAAGTGTGCATCCAAGAGAAGCAAGCCAAAGAGCAGTGCTTATGCTTCGCACAAATTTTACCATGTGTATCTCTTTTTGCAGCCCTTCCACGGAACGATTCCCCTCTACCACCATGCCCGTGGCACAGCAGAGTCCCGCGTCAAGCGGCCACCACGCAGGACAGAGCGTGGTCATGACAGCCAACGCTATGAATTGTAGCACGTGGTGTTGGCTGGGTTGTAGGTCAGATCTTCTGCCAGCTGTACAGCCAAGGACAACTTCTGGCTGCACAGATCCATAATGGTCTCACATCAAGAGAGCTATAGGGATTCAGCCCCTTAATTCAGAAAGCTAAACAAGATGCTCTGACCCCAAATTCGTTCTCTTCCAAGTGAATCAATCTAAGCAGTTGGAAAGTTTGGCACAGGTTTCACGTAACAAATCATATTACACACCATATATACCAAATGACCACTTGATCTGGTTCATAAAAAAACAATCATTCCCAATATGTGGGATTTTTTGCTGGCCAAGAATTGTGTGAACTCTTGCTGTTAGGTGACCCACAGCGTGGCCAGTAGCTGCTGTAGCTCTGTGCTCTCTCAACTCCACCTTCACATCATTGCAAAAAACCCTCACCCAGACCCTGACAGACATTGAGGGTTGTCTTCCACGGAGAGCTTATTTTCCTAGAAACTGGAACTGGTTAGTTAAAAAAATAAGTAAGTGACAGAGTAGCATTAGAGGGTCAGACTTAAACCGACAAACAAGAAACAACATGTGAGAAGAAAGCTGGACTTATATGCCTGTATCACCAAAGCCAGATATACCACAGAGTGTTACATGTAAACTGTGGGAAACTACCACCCACTACTCTGACACACCAAGACCCCCCACAATATCTCCACAAAATGGCATGAGTGCTAAATTATTGCATATTTTACTTAACACTTTCCAGAGAAAAATGAAAAGCAAAAGGAAAAAGAATATTAAAAATCAACAACCAAGAGTTTGAACTTTAGTGTACAAACTTTTCCCCGGGTAAGTAATTTTTATTTGTGTGACTGTCCTGCACTCAAACAGACAATTCATATAAATGTAGTGGATGTAAGGGGTAGGATACTTTTTTTGCCACTCTAATGATGCTGGGGCAGAGGTGTGGGGAAAATGTACCAAGGGAAAAGAGGAAACTGTCATCTACATGCTCAAAAATATGCTCTCCAGGACACAGAAGCGTGATCCACTGCCCCTACAAATCAGTCTGCATCACTACCCTGGGCTAAGTCTGTATTCCGTTTTGTGCTGTTTATCACACACCGGGAAAAGGGACGTAACTGTTCAGAACAGCACACACAATTTGCAAGCCAAGCTAATCATGCATAATATGCTAAATAAGCTGCTCTTTAAAAGCAGCATTCCTGAAGTTCACTAAGCTTCCTTGGAAAAGAGAAAACGAAAGGACTAGCTGGGAAAGAGCAGGATTAATCCCGCACATGCATCTTCCTTTGAAGTCAATGGGAGCTCTGCCTGAGTAACAAGTGTGGTCCTAACCCCATCCACTGGCAATGAAAGGTAAACCACAGAAGCCATCAATAGGAGACACCTATTAGATGACCTCAGCCATCCCCCTGCAAAAGGCCCTTCTCCAATATACATTTGCCAGTACTTTATCAAGGGTAGTTTTAAGCCAAAAGCCATTGTGAGATGCAGGAATTTCTCTGGCAACTTGAAGAATTCCATTTATGGCCGTGTCAGGCATGGAAAGGGGAACTGCACTGGTACGCACAGATTAGCGTCAGGGCATGTGGCAAGAGGACAGGAACAAGTGGAGATTTCTAGAGGGAAATCCCAGCGTCTACAAAGTACCAAGTCTTCTGCTGGTAAATCACTCCCCTCCAGTGAAAGCTGGGGTCTCATACACTGGGTTAGAGGGCATGGTAAAGAATTGCAAAAAAACAACACAAGTTTGCTTTTCTTGATAACCCCTGCCTGAAGCAAACCAGAGGAAATTGTCCCCATAGGGACTGAACTACTAAATCTCTCTATATGAATTTGAAATGCTTCTGGGAGTGTTTAAACACAGATGACTTTAAACAATAATGGGGCTCTGGAATAGAAAAAAAATAAAACAAAACAAAACAACACAACAAATTTTGGACTGATATATGTTTGAGTGGGATACTGAGATCCATTTAGCCTAAATTCTGATAGGTGCCTTTAGGGAACAAAAAAAATATCTGTACTTCAGATTTAAACTGCAGGGGATTGTGTGTATAAATTGCTGTGTATTAGTCTTTGTTGCATGGTAAGGACATTTCATTAACAGGATGAAAGATGCTTCTATCTGTATACAGCCCAATTTAATACACCCCACTGATGAATACTCCCCATTTATTGAAGAAGTTAATACATGCTGTATAAATCAATAGTTCCTAAGTCTCTGAAAGCAACATAAGACTTGCACGAGATGAAATATTGTATTGTTGAGCACACAAAGAAAAACCAACCTTTAAATAGGAAGAGTTTGTTACTGCAATTTCTGTTTGCAAATTCATAGCTTGTTTGGCTTTGGTAATAAAAACACAGTATCAACCCAAAGTCAGAGAAAAACATGCCACTGCTGGGATAAGGTGGTGTTAGTAAAAGCAGGTCTGTGGAAAAGAAAAAAAAAAAAAAAAAAAAGCCACCCAGGCTGAAAACACACTATCGTGCCATTGCAGCACCGAAGTGGCCAAACCCTTCGGCCTCAGACGAAGGGCTGGCGGGAGAGGCCGCTCCGCCACATCCCCGGCCAGGGCAGGGGGATGCTCCTGGCCCGGCACGGCCTCAAACTCTGGCAGCCGCCGGGGAGGGACCCCCTTCCCCCGCCCAGGGAGACCTTTCAAGTTTACTTAAAGTCTCATGTCCTGCTCAAGAGGCAGGGATGGGCCACCGCTGCCGGGCACCCCCTGACCGCCCACCACCGGGAATGTGGCAAGGGAGGGACTGATCAGGCACTTGCACCCGGGACCCCCAGAGCCCCCTCCCCTCCCTCTGCTTCCAGCAATGGAGAAGGAATGAGAGCTCACCATTCACCTTAAAACCTATTAATCAACAGACACTGAAAACAAATGGAGCTAGAGCTCCGCCTGTCTTTTTTGCCATGTCCTCCTCTTCCCCGTTTCCTCATTGCTTTCCCTTTCTGCAGAAGAAAGATGGGCCCTGAAAGTGCCTTTATGAGCCTAATACAATAAAACAAAAGCGGCACAGAAGAGGGTTTGTCAGTCTTTCCCCCTCCTCCAGGGTGGATGCAGAAGGTCGACAGTGGTCTTGAATTAGCAGGCCCTCCCGCAGTTGCTTGCTGGGCTTAGCAAAGGGTACCATTCAATATCAGTTCACATTAAAAAACAGGTTTATAACTTGTCTCCCTGTATTTTCCAGATGGTGCTATTGCAGTTATACTGACTATGGTCAGTGAAATGTTAACAGATGTTAGTGAGCTGCTCTGCAGCTCCAAAGATGCTCATAAGAGGAGAGTTTCTTCTTTTCTAAAGGTTGATCTCTCCTTGGTTCTGCCTAGGAACCACACACACACACACACACACACCACCCTCCCGCCCCCCCCCCCCCCCCCCCCCCCCCGCATCAGAAAACTATGTTGCAAGACAAGGCAAATCCCCAAATACTGCTGCAAATATTGGAATATTCTTTCACTTCCAGCCAGTCACCAACACCCAAAGCAGAGCACCCATCAACAGGCACCACTCCGGCCCCAGGGATCACCCACATCACCAGCCGCTCCAGGTGGCACCCCAAACTTCAACTGCAAACCACTCAGGTTAACTGAAAAGCTAAAGCCAACCAAATCCACCAGCTATATGTAACTTGGTTCTCATCCCCCTTCCCAAGCATAAAAATTCAAAGCCAGTGATGAAGCATTTCCTGAAAAAATTGAACATTTCATTTTACCCAGCTCCATTTAGCAAGTGGAGTCACAGTGTATTTTTTTAAGGATGCTTTCACACCTGACTAAGCATTTTCTCCTGAAAACTACTTCCCCTTGCTCCATTATGGCCGATACAGTGGCCTGAGCCACTTCACAGTTTAATGTAGCTGATTTCTGCCTAAGGTCCTGCCCTAAGCTAACTGCCCATTGTAGCAGGAGACAAGGCCTCCATTGATAATCAGAACTTGCCCTGATAAAAAAAAAAAAAGGCTCATTTTCTTCTTTCACACAAATGATGACAGGAGCACTGACAACCATGTGCTGGGACAATACCCCCCCTAGACAGAGCTTGACAAAAAAAAAAAACAAAAAACAAAAAACAAAAAACCACAACCCCCCACCGTCTTCCTCTTAATAAATAAATAAAATAAATGCGGGACACACACACACTTTTGCATCCTTCGGCTTTTTCCCCCTCCCTCCTTGACCACTTCCCAGGCCAGTGAGCGCCTACCTGCTCCTGCAAGAACAGCCAGCTTTCCAATAAAAACCCTGTGCTCTATTAACAACCTCTCAGACCAAACAACAAAATCAGCTTCCTGGCTTTAAGTGTCCAGCAATTCATTCAAGAAAAGAATCGTGTTGTGTGGTTTTTTTTTGTTGTTTTGGTTTTTCTTTTTTCCCCTTTAACTCTGATGAAGTGCCCCCTACACACCGGAGCACTAAACCACGGTGCTTGACATTTTCAGCATCCTTCCTGCAAGGGAGTGAAGGTACCAAGGGGAGGGGGTGGGGAAGCGAGGGTTTAAGATGTTCAGGAAATTTCCACTTAATTTCGCCAAAAGGCAATTATGTGAAATGATCTGGTGACAATTACCATATGCCAAATCCTCTAGCGCAAAAGGGAAAGAACTGGGATTTAGCTATCTAATTACTGCCTGTTAGTTCTTATGCAGAATTAAAAACACTATTAGTAAAACATTATTATTAAGTGTGCTCACACTTTGCTTTCAAAGCTGTTGTGGACTATGGTATCTGGGCTGTTTTTTGAAGTTAAAAAAAAAAAAAAAAAAAGAAACTTGTGGTTTTAAATACAAGTGCTGCATTCTTGGACCAAGTGTTAACCCTAATGTCAGGTCAGACCCAGACAAGCACCTGCTACGCAGCTCTGTATTTTGAGATCCTGCAAAAACACTTGGAATTACATTTACACCAGTTAGATTTTACCTCGCTTGTTCTCTTAACGCTTTGTCGATAAAGAGAAATCACTCTGCTGCATCTGCTCTGCCTGATCTCGGCATACAAATTTGGACACCAGAGTTACCCCAGCCTATAGCCCAGCAACAGTGGCCCGCACATATCCAGCCGAGCCTTGCACCGCATCTCAAAATTAGAGATGATTTGATCAACAGGTGGATTCCCCTGTACAAGGAGGACAGGGTAGTGCTCAGACTCCAAGTTTCAGGCATCGAGGTGCTGCCCAGATCTATTTCTTCCATTACAAAAGGAGAGGTGAAGTTTCTTCCCCAACCTGACTAATACTCAGTGCTTTCTTCACATAGTTTAGTTAAACACTAGACAGATACTATCTCTGTGTAGCAGGAAAGCCTTCGTTCATGTCTAACAAGGCAAAAAGCAGAAAGACTTGCCATACATTAGACTAAAACCAAGAAACCACTGTATTCTTAAGCAGTACCAGTATAAGGTGAGCTGGATACACAACCACTAAGCAAAGAGACTGGTGAAACGTAAGCAGGTCTTCAGGAAACGGTCCTGAACATAAAGGGGGTGGAGAGGGGAGAGATACAGAGCAATAAAGCAAGCACAAAAATTCAGAAAAGATGGGAAGAAGGGAAAAGTGAATATAAGCAAAAGAGTGCTTTTAATTTCCCTGATAGATCTTATTTGTTATGTGCTTTGTATGAATACCTAGTAACGCATTTTTACTTACTGCCTAGCATTCTCTAAAATGCCACATTATAAACAGCTTTAATTCTTGCATATAAATTGCTGATTTCAGCACTAGACAGACATATACTGTAGGAGAAATAGCTCCACTGATTTTGCAAGGGTATCTGAGACTTCTGCCTACAGTAAGAACTTGAATGTGAGGCTGTTAAAGAACTGCAAGGAATGAAAAAAAAAAATAGCATGCATGCCTATAAGCACTTGTATCTGGCAATTTCAGTAATAACAGTATTATTTAAAAACTAACATGCATATACATGCCTTAAGATATGATCCCAAGTTTTCAGTACAGCTTTTTAAAATTCAGTATTCACAAATAATAGCGGACTGGGTTCAGTACTGATACACAATATATGTAGCAAATTTATATTAAATAGCTTAACAAATAACAAAGCTCTAAAACACTTTTCCTTTTTTTAATGTGCTAAAAACATTACACACCACCACAAAACAACTGAGTGATGAAATTAAATAAGTCCAGATCAATTACTTCCTGAATAAATTCAACAAAGTTTCCCTAAAAATGTGATGTTAAATATTTTGGAATAAAAGAAACAGGCACATTTATGCAGTGCTGTCAGGCCTTCTGCTCCAAGTCCCAATAAAAAGAATTTCTCTAAAGGTAAAATGCTTATGAGATCTCATCACCAACCACGTAAAACCTGCATATGCAATAACACGCAGTGAAAGAAGAAACATCTAAATAACCACCCTTTCAGATTAATTCATTTTAGATGAATTCTACAGAATTTTATCCCTTGTTTTATACCACAAAAGGCAAATAAATCAACTAAGATACTCAGGTGAAGGTACCAGAGAGTACTGAAGTGATAGAAATCGTCCTCCTGGATCGAGTGACTCTGTAAGCAAGCTTGGCAGAGTTAGAAAAGAAAACAGCAGAAAACTCAAGGCTCCCACAAAACCTCTGGTGAAAATGAGATGCTTTCTAAAATTCTTAAACACATTTCTGTTTTCTCTGTCTAATTACAGGCAATGTACAGAACTGGATGAGGGGTAGGTTTACTTTCTGTAATATAAATTAATAAGCGAAAAAAAAGTCTCATGGACTTCTGATAACGAACACAGAACCACTGTGTCAAAACACAGGTTATCTCATATTTATCAACATTCAGTATTATTTTTCATATTCTTTTAGCACTGGGCAAAATAATTTTTATGTAGTGTCCCTAAAATCTTCATCTTTCACATTACAGCTGAGCTTTCAGATGAAACCAGAAAATTTATATGAGCATCTACCAAACACAGGATCAAAAGTAAATGATTAAAAACTACTACATACTCTTTTTAATAATTTCAGAAAAAAAATCTTTTTTTGTGTATGACAAATCATTCCATCTCCAAACCCCCTTAACTGTAACGTATGTGCCCTGCTGCAAACCAACTTTTTCTCCTTAAAAAAAAAACCAAAACAAAAACAAAACAAAAAAAAACACCCAAACATTTTTACCTTCATGATTTCAGTGTTAAGGAAATATCGTACTGAACTGAAGAAAGCTTTGAAGTGGCCCCCTCTGCCCCAAAGGAGAAAAAGAAAAGAAAAGCTAGTGATGTCATGGTCACTGTGTGAATGTATGACTGCGGATGTAACGCGCAGCTAATACACGCGCGCACGCTTCTCCCTCGCTGGTAACCATTGTTCAGCATCCAGGAATCAGCCCCTGAAACCTGCTGTACACCAGGCTCCGAAATGCCACCCCCCAACCCCCCCCCAAACACACCCGGATCCCACCCTGGATGCATGAGAAAAAATTCCACACACCCCCCCCCCGTTTCTGTAAACCAAACCCCAAAATCAGGCGGAGGGAAGGGCAAAGAGGAGGAGTGCAACAACTCTGCCCCGCTGCACCATTGTGTCGCGACAAAACGGCGCTCTGCCGCGCGCTCCTCGCCACTGCTGTAAAATTAAAGTGTCAATCAAAAAGTCGTGCTTCCCCCCGCTAAAAAAGATGATTAACAAAAAATAAATAAATAAAAACAATGTCGCTAACAAAGGTCACAGCTGGAGATGCTTGCTTGATTTCTTGCCCCCAACGCCACCTTTTTTTTTTTTTTTTTTTTTTAAATTCCACACAGGAGGAAAGAAAAGGAGAGGGAGAAAAGTCACATCAGAAGTTCAATGGTCAAGACGGAAAGCGCGCACACAGAAAGTGCTACTCACCCAGCAATTCAAATTGAGATGCCAGCAGCCGAACTGCTGGAAGAGCGAGAACCCAGAGGCAAGCGCTCCTCCTTTACCACTCAAATCTTCCATTCCCACTAAAATTGCATCCCTCGGGTACATAACAGCTTTGTCTTTCCTTCTCTTAACCTCAAAAACTTTTTTCTTTACTGTCTATATGCCAATTGTGCTGGCTTTGTATTATTTTCCTTGCAGCTTTTCTCTCTCTTTTTCTTTTCCCGCTCCCCCCCTTCACTTAAAGTACTGGAAAAGCTGTCTTAAAAGATCAAGATGTCTCCAGTTTTTTGGCCTGGTGTTTTCTGAATGCTCCAAATCCATTGTCATGTTGGCTGTGAGAAGTGTCTTATTTCTAAATTGTCGGCTGCCGTTATCAAAATTTAGAGAAGCCTCCTGTCTTTTCCGATACAGCACTTTACCATCATCCTTCCAGGGAGTGGGAAAAAGACTTTCCCCCCCACGCAGGTATGTCTGCTCACAAGAGCTAAAAAGCAGTTACCTTGGAAATCAGTGACAATGCTACTACAACCCAGGTTGCACAGGTATTACTAAGTGCAGCAAGGAAACGCCGGCCGGCCGTGAGGGAGCATGATCAGTTAAGTGTAGCAAGCAGTCACTTTATCTGCAAGATTGTCAAATCCCTCAAAACAAATTTCTTAGGGGGAGAGCTGTAAGGGAAGTATATTTTCTTGTCATTGTAACACTGAGGTGACATTTGGCAGACCTTTACCATTAGCTCTGGTCTCCCCCCTGGTCCCCGTCCCTCTTCTTTTAGCATTTAGTATTTCTGTAAACCACTGACCCCACTGCAAAAGTGCTGCAAGGGGAGCTCCGAGCTCGCTAACGTTACAGTGCCTGGGCTATTGCGTTTTCCCAAGCTGCTCCCAAGTGAGAATAAACAGGGGTACCCAGAGAGCATCGCTGAACTGCGCAAGAGTGAAGCCTTCTCCCCCGCGCCTCGCTCTTGCCTACAAGCGCTGCAAGACGCCCGCTTCCTAAATCTGAGCTGGGTACCGAGGACAGACAGCAGCATCCGACTTCACCAAGAGCCAACCTCTCATCTCTTATTTATCCCTTTCCCTAAAGTTGCAAAGTAGTTACTCTGCAACAGGGGCAAAAGCCATAAAGGGTGGTTTAGCGGGGAATAATTAGGAAACCATGGCCACGTTCTTCCCCTCCTCACTTTCTAAGGGAGTTTGTTAACACTGACGGATGCTGCACGCAGGGAGAGCCATCGCCATGTGGGACGGACGCTGCTGCAGATGAGGCACTGGAGGAGACCAGTTGCAAGCACTTGCCTTCCCCGCGCACATCTGGGTGACTCACGCGAAGGAGTTCATCTCCCTTGCCCCCACAGAATAAAACAAGAGGACTAAATAAATATAGGAGGGAAAGAAAAAAAAAAAAATAACAAACAACAAACCACAACTGTTTCAAACAGGGAGACCTTGAGTGGTTCCAGGTTTGCTTTTTAAGTGACAGGTTAACTCGCAAAGGCTGCAGGCTGAACAAATAAACAAACCAAAGCGCAAAACTGACACCCAGGACAAGGGGGAAAAAAA